TTGGGTGACACGGGCAGGATGGATGGATGGTGGGGAGGCTGTGCAGAGGCAGCCACAGCTCCTGCTGCTGTCTGACACCGTGCAGAGCCTGCCACCACCTCCTTGCAGCAGAGAGAAACACAGAATTCACTATTTCTTCTTACATTCAAATCGCTCCCTCCTACATTCACATCATCGCTGTCAGAAACATCTTGATTTTCCACACCTAAGGGGCTATGGAAAAAAACAAGCATTTCTGCTAAAAATAAGGGGTCTTTTTTCCCCCCTATAAGCTGAATTTATTCAGATCTTTTCCTCTAAAACRCAGCATTATTTTAATTTTAATTTAATCCCACATCTGCATAATTGCAGCGCTGCCAAACAAACAAATCRCAGTCACTGGGAAGCAGGAGCAATGCAAAACATGGATTTAACTGACTTCATTTCCAAACATTTTCCTGCAAATGTTCCCCCACAGAAGAACTGCACTCCTCACTGACATGTCCACGTTTTGATCATGACAAACATCTCCCCTTCAAACACATTTTACACCAGAAAATTTATTTTGCAGTCAGATGCAGCACTAGGAGAGCACTCAGGAAATCAATGCCAGCCCCAGCTTTCACCCCTCATGAAACATTCCCTGCTTTTGGTGATTTATTTACTCCCAGTTTATTTGTGTGCTGTTTGTGGAGAAAACACTCTGTCTTTAAAGTCGCACCTAAAAGTCACATTCATTTCCCCACGGATGTTTTTGGGRAGGAATGATGGAAAGGGAGTGCAGGGAGCTGGGTTGGTGTGTGCAGGGGACACCGCAGGATTTACAAAACCYGCAGGGATCGGGGTCACAGCCACATCAGCTCTAAGGGACCTTCAATTCCCTGCTCCACTTCTCCATCCTGACCACGGGACCAGCACAATTCTGGGATTTCTCTGATGGTTTTGACGAGCAGCAAATATTGATTTAAAAATATTGCTGTGGTTCAGGATGGTTGGAATTTCTACAGGACAGATGACTCCAGAGTCACCCCAAAAAATTCCCTGCCAAAATCAGGAACACTCCTCCGGTCACCCAAGCAGCTTTGGACACCTTCAAAACATGATTTTTGAAGCATAAAGGTCAAAAATCGTCATCTTTTCAAATCTAAATGAGCAGTTTGGGAGATTTCTGCCCTGCCAGGAGCTGCCTTRGCTGTGAACTTTGGCAGCTCTCGGGTAAGAACATGAGATAATCAGCAGCAAATTTATCAGCAGGGACAAAAGACTGAAATGGAGTTGATAAAGGGGGGAAAAAAAAGTGTGGGGGGGATGGAGATCTACGAATAATTTTAGAAATGAGCTGCAAGTTGCACAGTCACAAAGCGGAGGCTGGAATGCACTTTTCCAGAGTTTGTAAAGACTCATTTAATTTCTATAGAAACTGAAGCAGCAAACAGGTAATTTTCTCTGCAAATTGCTTCTATCACCTCTGGAATGCTCTGCAAGAGCAACATATTTCCCTCGTGTCTTCTTAATCCCCTGTTATTTTCATTATAAATTTAATTAAGCTCTTGTAGAGAGCATTCCATGACATACGAGCTGGGTTTTGTTTTGCTGCTGGAGCGGGGACAGAAAGGAGCTGCTGAATTATGTGGCAATTGGATTTCTTTTTTTTCTGGGTAAATATTTCAAATGACACTGAGCAGGGGAGACATTTGCTGAATCAATACAGCTGAAGCTGAGGGAAGGAGCTGCACAGSAAGCTCTGAGCATCCCCAGAATTCCTTCCAGCCAGGCCTTTCCTCCTTGGACAAAAATAGGGAATATCAAGAGCAGGTAAATCAGGGAAATGCTGAGACTTTAATGCCCACACAGCCAGAGAAAGGAAGGAATTAAACTGAGGAGAATTTGGCGCAGAGGATGGAGAATTCACTCATTATTTGATGGGCACAAACTACACAAATCCTTCACTTCAGCTACAGGAGCCTCTGATTCCACTCTGAACATCCCCTTTCCTCCTCCAGCCCTTTGACAACCTGCATCACAAATCAGTATTTTCCTGCTGTCTCCYTCTGTCAATTCCTGAGGAATTCTGAATATGGCAAATGTTAAAAATGAATCATTGCAGGTCAATTAATTTCAAATKATATCGAAAAGCTTTGCTTYGGYGTCAAAGCCTCGTGAAAAACTGGGYTTGGATGTAACACACATMAATATTTTAAGTTAATATAAAATGGAATTAGAAGCTTTAAGTCAATATAAAATGAAATTGGGCTTTCTGACCCATCTTTTTAACCCATTTAATGTCTCGTTATCAGACAACAACATCCCCCCTGCAGAGCTGGGGTTGTTTGTTTTTATTTCAGCTTTTCCCAGCTGAAGGCCATGACAAGTCATCATCCCACCAGGCATGTTTGGGAACGCTCAGGAGTCACAGCAGRGCTGGCAGAGCTGCACACAGAACTGCCACAAGGGAATCAAATCCACCAAAATGAGGTTTTTCATCTAATCATCAGGAGAGATCAAGCTCTGGAAAATCTTCCTGAAGGAAACCAGGAATTATTTCCCACCAGAGACCTGCAAACRAGCCAGATCTCGTGTGTGATTATTGTGGAATTCCTTTTCCCTGTGCTGCATCCATTTCAATACTCTCTGCCAGTGATTTTTCTTTCTTCCTTCCTTGTTTTATTTGATTCTTGTTACAGAAAGGAGATGTCAGRAAATCTGACACATTGCTGTGCCAGCAGCAGGTGAGAATCTCACGATTCAATTCCCACCTGTGTCAGGGCCACTTTATGCCAATTTTCTCTGTAGGAAAACATGGAATAAAAGCAATAAAACCCGTGGAAGRCACGTGCATGTGCTGTGCACAGCTTCAGCACTGCCTGCACGAACAGGGGCTGCACAAATCCCTGCACAGGAAGGGTTAGATAGGAAAGCACTGCCTAAGGTATCACCAAGCCAAAATGTTCTGCAAGCTTGGAAAAGAGTTTGCCATTAAATAACTTCATTTTCATTTCCTGTTTTAGCGTTCATGCTTAAAAAGTTCCATTTAAAAAAAGGGAAATATTTTCCTGTAATCAGCAGGTGACAGGACAAAGTGCTTTAAGACATCACAACCCCGATGTGGGAAAGCTCTGGTGTAAATTCTGACGGATTCACAGATCTGTCCTTCCTGGGATGGSTCTGGGTCTGGGAACTTTGGCGTCGATCAGAGTCCTGTTCCCAGCTTTGCTGCCCTCCTTGCCCTGCAGCAGGGTGATGATGCTCTCCCTCTGGTGCCTGACCGCCAGCTGCAGGGCCGTGCAGCCCGTGATGTCCTCTATGTCCAGCTGAGCCCCGGCCTTGATCAGGGTCTTGATGATGGCCATGTTGCCCTTGAGGACRGCCAAATGCAGCGGCGTCCAGCCCACCTTGTTCCTGGCGTTGACGTCGGCCCGGCTCTCCAGCAGGTTGATGACGCTGAGGAAGGAGCCCCTGAGCACAGCAAAGTGCAGGGGGGCCCAGTGGGACCTCTCGGCCGCGTTGGGGTCGGCCCCGCAGCGCAGCAGCTCGCTGACCACCGGCTCGTCCCCGTAGCGCGTGGCCAGGTGCAGCGGCGTCCAGTCCATGCTGCCCTTGGCGTCCAGGCGGGCGTGGCTGCTTTTGAGCAGCCGGATGATCTCGATGTGGCCCTTGAAGGATGCYAGGTGCAGGGCGGTCCAGCCCTTGTCGGTCCTCAGCTCCACGTTGGCGCCGTGCTTGATGAGTTTCTCGCAGATGAGGTATTTTCCTCTGGCCACGGCCAGGTGCAGGGCGCTGTAATGGTTCTGGTCCAGGCTGTTGACCGAGATGCCGCTCTTCAGCAGGTAATGCACCACCCTGAACTTGCCCCTCTCCACGGCCACGTGCAGCGGCGTCCTCAGGTTCTTCTGCTTCCTCTCCAGGTCRGCCCCTTGGCTGGCCAGCAGCTTGACCAGGCCCACGTGGCCGAAGCAGGCCGCCACGTGCAGGGCGGTCTTGCCGTCGGCCTCCTGCGCGTTGGGGTCGGCCTGGCGGGACAGCAGCACCCTCGCCACGTTCTCAAAGTCGTTCTGCGCCGCCAAGTGCAGCGGGGTCCATCCGTCACGCTCGCGGGCGTCCGCACGGGCCCGGTGGTCCAGCAGCAGCCGCGCCGTGCGGTCATCGCCGTGCTGGGCAGCGAAGTGCAGCGGGCTCCAGCCGTCCTCGTCGGCCGCGTCCACGTCGGCGCCGTGGGCGATCAGGAGGGCGCAGAGCTCGGGCAGCCGGCGCTGCACGGCCACCAGCAGCGGGGTTCCGCCGCCGCCCGCCCGCCCGTTGACGCTGGCCGCCCGGCAGCCCAGCAGCAGCCGCACCTTGGCCACGTTGCCCTGCAGCACGGCCAGGTGCAGCAGGCTCAGCCCGTCCTCGTGCTCCGCGCTCAGCTCCTCGCGATGGAGCTCCTCGGTGTCCCCGGGCACAGCGGGGATGGGAACCGCTCTGAGATCCTTCACTAAACGCAGGGACACCAAACAGCACAAAAAGTGTGAAATTGAGTGAAAAGCTCCCAAAAAGTACTTGGTCTACTCTCTTATGTGTAGAATGACATTGAATAAAATTATTTGAGAGATAAGGAATGTGAAATAAGGCCTGACATGCTCTGGGACACTTGGCCTCTCTCCTGTAGGGCCTATTTCCTGTACAGTTCATTTTCCTTTAATGTGTACATTTCCTTAAAACATCACCCACATGGAAAACTTTATGAACCACATCCTTCTAAAAAAAATCCCAGACAGTTTTTATAACTTCCCCTTCTTTACTTTTCAATTTTAAAGCCAGTCCCTTACTTACCCCCACTTCTGGTGTCCCGGGGGAAAGTGAACTCCTCTTTGTCGCTCTCATTTTCGGAAAGGGGAAAAGAAAAAGGAGTAAGACAAAGTGTTTATGTGCATCCTGTAGTGTTTGCACAAAGTTCTTCACTGCTGCTCTGCAGTTTTGTGTCCTCATTTGAGAGTTTTTTATCCAATACTGGTTTTGCAACCAAAAATCAGCCGAGCAAATCATGACACAACAGGAATGGGGGAGCCTGAAATGATCCCTGGATATCCATGAGTTTTTCTTTCTCAATTGCTCCCAAACACACACACATATTCTGCTTCCTGACTTTATCACGAGCCCATCCCAAAATTATTTCCTTTGTTATTYAGGGAACCCCAAGCCCCCACCACGCCAGGCCTCTGGTTTCCTGCACAGCTTGGCAAAACCCTCTAAATACCAATAATTCCCAACTCCCATTTTTCCTGTTTTCTAAGCACAATCACATTCCAGTATCTGGGATACAATTATGACTATGCAGAAGCCTAACCCTAACCCTAATCCTAACTCTAACCCTAATCCTAACCTATTTTTCTTAGCCAGAGAAACACAGGGATTTAAAAGGATATTTCTAAAAATTTCTGTGAGAGTTGTTCAAACTGGAACAGCCTCAGTTCTGTGCAGTGAGCAGAACTACTGTGATTCTGTGCTTGCTTGAGTTTCTTTTGAGTTTCTTGTACTGACTGAGGTCAACATGATAAACCCACCTTCACCTGAGCAGGGACAGAAATGGATTATCTTCTTGGACTATTTATAATTTGGTGCATTTGTTAATTGATTTGCAAGTGTCTTCTCTGCAGAAATGAATGATAGAGGCACAGTCTGTGCAGACACACCCTGCAAATGTCCAGGGTGTGACTTTTGGGAGGACAAACTGCCTCAAGGGATGATAAAAACAAGGAGAAGACTCAGTGGAAGTTCCTGAGCGGTGCTGGGGGCTCTCCTCACCTGCTGGCTCCTGGAGATGGCSGGTTTGTGGGACATCTTCCTGACCAGGCGCTCGTTCTCCGGCTCCAGCACCAGGCTCTGGATCAGCGCCAGCAGCACGTCTGTCTCCACAGGGATATCTGCCAGGGCACAGCGTTCAGAGCCAGGCAGGACCCACAGGGCAAGGAGGGAAGGGGGTAAAGGGGATGTGGGACAGCAGACGGGCAGTGAAACCTCGGAGATAGCACTGGGAAAAGGACACACAAAGCTATCCCATGGGGCTGGGGCTGGGCTGACCCACACCCCAATCCCACCTGCAAAGCTCGGCCTYTGCTTGGGGTCCTGGTCCCAGCACCTCTTCATCAGGTCCATCATCTGGTGGCACTCCCCGGGCCAGTCRTCCCTGACCAGCTCCAGCCCCGGCCGCTTGCCCGCCGCCACCTTCACGATGATGGCCATCATGTTGGCCCCTGCAAAGAGCCAGCTCTCACTGMGCTTTTCCCCGGCTGGGGTGGGCATGGCACAGGTGCAGGGTTTGGGTTTTACCTGCGTAAGGTTTCTTCTGCATCAGGACCTCCCAGATGACGATCCCRAAGCTGCGGGAGAGGAGAAACCGTGAGCAATTGGACATGGAATGCAATTATTGCTTCTGCCTTCTGGGGAAATGGGGAAACCAGCAAGGAGGTTCTTCAGGAGGGAAGGATTTCATCTCCCAGAGCAGAAGGATCTCATCTCCCAGAGCAGAAGGATTTGATCCCCAGAGCAGAAGGATTTCATCTCCCAGAGCAGAAGGATTTCATCTCCCAGAGCAGAAGGATTTCATCTCCCAGAGCAGAAGGATCTCATCCCCCAGGCAAAAGGGATCAGGTCTCATGGTTCTGCCTCATACACCCCGTTAAGAGTGGGGTCACCACACTCCAAGGGGTCTGTGCAGTGAGTGACTTGGAACCCATCCTGTCATAGGCTCTCAGAGCCTTTTCTCCACTTTATTTACGTTGAGGTTTAGAGCCCTCAAAACTGCARATTCCTGTGGCTGTGCAAATCCCCCTCTGCTCCTTGTTTTGGAGGAGCTGAGGAATTTCCAGACCCAGACATGGAGCTGCTGTCACTGTGCCCAAAAGGAAAAAAACCACCTTGAAATCTCTTCTCCACCTGTTCCTGACCCAAATGAAGCTGAACACCAAAGCAGAGAAACCAGCACTGGAACTGTTTCAAATCCAAAATGCATCTCAGCAGTGACTGTGATGAAAGAGCAGCACTGGCAGTTCTGGGCTCTAATCTCACTCATTTTTATAAGAATTCCCAGCAGCCAAACAGGGCGTGATGGCACCTGGGGCAGTCCAGCCTGCAGCTCCCAGGGGATGGGTGGGAAGAGATGATGATTATCCCAGAGAACCCCCTCCCTCCCCGTCTACACCGCACAGATTGGGGCACCCACATTACACAAAACAAAAAAAAAAATCAGAATTGAAAAGAATAGAGGCCGTGTTCCAGCCCCTCTGATGGTGTGTGAGAGATTGGGGACACCCCTGAGTGCCCTGAGACACCCCTGGGTGCCCTGGGSCAGCCCTCACCTGTACACATCATATTTGATGCCCGGGGGTTTGCTGTTCTGCAGGAACATCTCGGGGGGGATGTAGCTCAGGGTGCCCCTCAGAGCCGAGCTCTCGATGTACTGCATCCTGCTGGATTGCTCCATCCACCTGGACAGCCCAAAGTCGGAGATCTGCCAGCAGAAAGGAGGAAAGTGCCCCAAAATGTTCACACTCAGCCCTCCTGCTGTCACCCTGGACATCCCCCCACCCTTTGGGAACCCGTCAGATCAAACCCTGACATCCTGCAGCCTGAAATTCCCAGTGCTGGCCCACATTCCCTGCATGATCCTGAGAACAGCATGTGATTTTATCACCAGCTGCTTCTTAAAATGCCCTCAGGTCAATCATTCATGGAGTGCTCCTGGAGAACCTGATTTACTGGGATTCTGGGCTCGTTTGGCAAAAAGAACCTCTCTGTTATTTGAGGAATCACCAAGGCCATACCTTGACGTGCATGTTCCCATCCAGCAGAACATTCCCTGGTTTCAGATCCAAGTGCAGCAGGGGAGGGCTCATGCTGTGCAGGAAATTCATGGCCAAGCCCATCTCATGGATCACCCGGAATTTCAGCTGCCAGGACATTCTGTGAGTGGGAAGGATTTTCTCCAAGGACCCCCTGGCCATGTATTCCATCACTATCCCCAGGGGGCTGTTGCACACCCCGTAGATGGTGACAATGTGCTGGAATTTGATTTTCTCCATCTTGCTCGCCTCCTCCATTAGACAGTTCATGCTGGTCCTGGAAAAAAAAAAAAAAAAAGATAATTAAAATCAAAAACAATGGAAGCAAGAAATTTTATCAGTTGATTCACTGTGGCTCAGTAACTGTGTAGTAACTTAGTGATATCCAGATGTTCTGAGCACTGCCTGCCCCAAAAAGATTCACCCCAATTTCCCCCTTGATTCACCCCAATTTCCTTCTTGATTTACCCCAATTTCCCCTTGAACTGATGATCATGCTGCCACATGGTGATCGTTTTGTACACTAAAATCTGACACACAAGGGGTTATGGCTCCTCAAAACGAGCTGAGGTTTATTTGGGCCAAATCAGCCACCACAGGGAAAAAAAAATGAAAAACTTCCATTTATTTCAGTCCTTCACAGAGCTCCAGTGACCACAGAGAGCCTGTGCTTGTCCCACTGGGGTGAGATGGCTTTAAACTGCCCGAGGGCAGGGTTAGGTGGGATTTTGGGGGAAAATCCTTCCCTGTGAGGGTGTGGAGGGGATGGGATGGAATTCCCACAGAAGCTGTGGCTGCTCCTGGATCCCTGGAAGAGCCCCAGGCCTGGTGGGACAGCAGAAAGTGTCCCTGGACAGGGCAGGAGTGGCTCTGGATGAACTTCAAGCTGCTCCCAACCCAACCCATCTGTAATTCCATGGAATTCCCGGTGTTTCCCTGGCAGCAGGATGCCAGGAGCGGGCACAGCTCTGTGCCATCCCTGCCATCCCTGGGCACGGTGACTCTGTGCCAGGGGAACCCAGACACTCCAGGCTGCCAGCTCGGGCAGTTTCTCTCAGTTTTTACCTTTCCCGACCTGCTGAACGAGTTTGGGGTGCCCGGAGCGCTCCGGGAGCAGCCGAGCAGCAAAGTGCCGGGAGTGCCTCCAAAATGCACACCCTGGGAACGGGGCTGAGCTGACAGCAATTAGGCCAGGCTATTAATTGATCTAAAATGGTTCTGCCAACCAAAATCTTCTGCCGGGTTCCCCACGGTGAGACCTGCCTGTGGGGGGAGGAATCTCAGGCATTTTACTGTCCTTGATAAAACACAGAGTTAAAATTGACTCTTCCCCACCTCAAACAAGAACAAAATGTAAATGTAATATCTGCAGAACAAAGCCAGTACAGTCACTGCTCAGCCTGCACTCAGCTGTTATCAGGAACAAGAAATCATATGAGAGCAAGRTTTTTAGCCAGGATCCTTCCAACTTGAATGGAATAAAATTTTAAAGTAAATAACTGCATCAATCCGGTTGTTTGTGCAGCAGCTCTGCCTGCACTGGATGYGTTATCAGCAGTGGCTGTGATTTCCTGGCCCTGCTCCATCTCCAGGCCCAAGGTGGGCACCAGAGGAATGAGAGACAGAGCAAGAGGCAGAGAAGAGCTGCAGATGCACCACGGAGAGGAAAGAGATGTCTGGAGGCTACGGGAGCAGAGCAGCAAAATCAGCTGGGAATTGCCTGCCCCTCACCTTTACCCCTGGTGAAGAGCTCAGTTTGACAGATCCACATCAGCCCCAATGTCCAGCGAATGCTGTAAATGCCCCAATAATAAAAACCTCAACCATGTCTGAGGTGCTGCCATCAGTAGTGACTCAGTGATATACAGTTGTTCTGAGCACTGCCTGCCCCAAAAAGTTTCACCCCAATTTCCCCCTTGAACTGATGATCCTGGCTCCGTAACTGTGTAGCAACTTAGTGATATCCAGCTGTTCTGAGCACTGCCTGCCCCAAAAAGATTCACCCAATTTCCCCCTTGAACTGACAATCATGCTGCCACACGGTGATCATTTTGTACACTCAAATCCGACACACAAAAACCATGTGTCAGCCCTGTTCTGCTCACTGTGTGTCCCTTTGCACATCCCCACACAAGAGACAGGGAAAGGCAGAACTCCGGACCCTTTTCCCACAACTTCTAGGTTCCCAACCCTCAATTTCCCAAAGAGAAAAAGCTCTTCCCCTCGGAGTTGCAGCCCCAAATTCACCCAGCTGAATGGCCAGTGAGGTGCAGATCAGAGCAGAGCAGAGCAGAGCAGAGCAGAGCAGGGTTACCTGTCCACACTGGAATCCTGCAGCAGGTACGGGGAGCACTTCACTGCATACAGCGTCCTCCACCTCCTGTGCTTCACCTGGTACACCTGGCCAAAGCCCCCGCTGGCCACCCGGACCCAGCCATCCTCAAAATCCTCCTTGCTGAAGATGGTCAGGCTGCCCAGTGCCCGGCCCCGCTCCTCGGCCATGGCCCAGCCCGGCTGCTGCTGTGCCTGGCACCGAGAGAGAAAAGAGCTGCTCCTTCCCTTCCCTTTCCTGCTCCTTCCCTTCCCTTCCCTTCCCTGCCCTGCCCTGCCCTGCCCTGCCCTGCCCTGCCCGGGGAGGAGGTGCAGATCCACCTGATGGTGATGCCTGATGATTTTTGCTTTTCCTTTTTATGCTTTTTGTACCCTCTATGCATCCGCCTGTACCCCTTATCCCACATGTTTGTAATTCCTGGAGCCTGATATTCCAGCTCAGTTTAGGAGTTCTGCTGGGCAGAGAGACCAAAGATCCTCAGGAAGGGCTCAGTGTGCCCTGTGCTATCTTAAACCCGAGCTCAGCCTTGGGTGAAGCTTAAACCCGAGCTCAGCCTTGGGTGAAGCCTTCTGTCCAGAACATCTTGTGTAAACTGGGCTCTGGCCTCATCTGGGGAGGAGTCATTAGAATAGGGGGACATTACTGCATTTGTTAAATTTCTTATTAAAGAATCCTAGATAGAAATGCTAATTCCTGAAATCTATAAAACTGCGCTGTACACGGGTGTGCATTCTGCCATCAAGTTGTGCACCTGGGATCCCAAATACCGAGGTAAAACCCTTTTTATCCCCTTAACCGTGTCTGTGTCATTATTAAAAACCGGCCTTTCAAGGCAACAATGGAACTGCTCTCAGGAGGTGGATCATTGTAGGGAGTGTTAACACCTTGCATGGGAGAAAAACACCATGTAGAAGGATCTCAGTGAGGTGAATCTCTGTTAGACAAGTTTTTGTAGGAACGAGGTCATGAATTGTTGTTACTGAGCAACTCAGACTACAAGATAGAGCAGAATGAGATAGAAAAGGATGAGGAAGAGAAGGATGTGACTACAGCAGTGTAATACGTACCTCACACTGACCATGAAGAAGAAACATAGTAAAAAGCAAAAACAAAGAGCAATTGAAGAACAATAGGACAATTGAAGAAAGAGCAAAATGCTGAGAACGTTGATTTAAAACTGCAAAGCATACAAAAAGAYGCTTTTGCAAATATACCAATCATTTTTGGTTCTGCTGCAGAATTTTGAAGGAATCCTTGGAGGGAGCCCGGCCCAGGGTGGGTTCATTCTCTGTTGCACTGGCACGAGGTGCTCTGGCAGTGGATTAAATTCCTTTAAGGAAAGAAGGAAAAGGGGGAAAAGCCAGCCAGGCTTTTAAGGTGATTTTAAGGAGATTTTAAGGAGGTTTTAATGAGGTTTTAAGGAGGGTTTAAAGAGGTTTTGAGGAGAAAAAACCCATTAGAACCTGGCTGTTGCCAATCCCCGGGAGCGATGCCCTTCTCCCCTCCACTCCCACCTGCCCACAYAATTTTGGGGCTGAGGACAAACCCGCTGGGGCCCCTTTCCCTCMCACCCAGGCACAGACGAGACAAACACTGCGATGCTCAGGTTTTATTTCAGAGAGCTCAGGAGAAGGGGAGGCTCTGGGGGACATGGCCGGTGTGTGGCTGCTGCTCCTCTTCCTGCCCGGACCTTCCAGGGGCATTTCTGGGGATGCTGCAGCTTTGAGGTCTGGAACAGCCGGGGGTGAGGGTCCTGCTGGTCACTGTCCCCACGGACAGGAACATCCTGCCCTTTCTGTGCTGCTCTCGCTGTGTTGCTGCTCCTTCACAGCCCACAAAGTCACTCTGCTCTCCATCAGCAGCTGCTGCAGGAGGGTCTGGATGGGATGGAGCAGCCCCAGATCCTCTGGGATGAAGGAATGTGGGGTTGGAGCCCACTGGGAGCTCCCCACAGCCCATGAGAACACTCTGCTCTCCATCAGCGGCTGCTGCAGGAGGGTCTGGGCAGGATGGAGCAATCCCAGCTCCTCTGGGATGAAGGGATGTGGGGTTGGATCCCACTGGGAGCTCCCCACAGCCCGCAAAATCACTCTGCTCTCCACCAGCAGCTGCTCTAGGAGGGTCTGGATGGGATGGAGCAATCCCAGCTCCTCTGGGATGAAAGAATGTGGGGCTGGAACCCACTGGGAGATCCCCACAGCCCACGAGGTCGCTTTGCTCTCCATCAGCAACTGCTGCAGGAGCGTCTGGAAGGGATGGAGCAGCCCCAGATCCTCTGGGACAAAGAAAGAGGGGCTGGAGCCCATTGGGAGATCCCCACAGCCCATGAGAACACTCTGCTCTCCACCAGCAGCTGCTGCAGGAGAGCCTGGATGGGATGGAGCAATCCCAGTTCCTCTGGGATGAAGGGATGTGGGGCTGGAGCCCACTGGGAGCTCCCACAGCACCACCCTGCCCTGCCACAGCCATCCCCTAAACCCCGATGTGCCCCCAGGAAAGCCCTGTTTGTGTCCCCCATCCTATGGATGCCTTTTCCCAGTGCGTTCCAGCCGATTCCAGTCTGCTGCTGGAGCTCTCTGAGCMTTACTGGGAGCTTGGTGGAGCAAACAGCAGCAGGATTTAGGGAAAGGAGGAAGGAACTTGGTTTTTGGGGGTGAGAAAAGCTGTGAGGCCGAGGGGACAGATCTCTGAGCTCTGCRGTGCTGTCCACACTCCCAATCCCATCTTTTTCCTACCATTTCTCCCCGGTGGCAGGCTCTAGTCCACAGTGCTCTATTTCTGGTTCTTGTGGCCCTGATCTCCTCTCTGCTGCCCCATTTCTGTGCCTGGGCTGGGCTGGGCTCTCAGCTCTGCTCTCCCTGCAGCACTACAGYGGTTCCTTCTCTACTCTGCGGTGTGTGGAGTGTGATGCAGAAGGAAAGGAAGGATGGAGAGGCAGCTCGGAGCAGAGGTGGCATCTCCTGCTCCCTGGAAGCTCTACGGAAGCCAAGCACGTTCAGCTGCTTCTCTGCTGGCCGGGARTTCAGGATCACAGCCCCTGGAATTCTCCAAACAGGGGGGAACGGCTGGGCTTGGCTCTGTGCCGGTGGTGCAGCCACAGCCCCATGAAAGCGCTGCCCAGGACGGCAAAACCAGTGAGGGAGCCCAGCAGGATGGGCAGCAGCATGGCAGGAGCAGCACCTGGGCACAGGGAGAGGAATTGAGAGGTGAGAAATGTTCTTTGTACAAACCAGTACAGACACAGGGAGCTAGGGATGGTGCCAGGGGGGTTTAAGAAATCTCTCGTGTTGTACCAGTTCAGTGTCACTATTTTCTGATCTCTATAAACATTTAATTAACATGAACCATTAACATTTCACCTGTGAACACCCCTGACCTGGGCCAATCTCTGCACCAAAATGCTACAACAGGGGAATTTTTTACAATTCTTTACAAACAGASAACATTCTGCCTCGGTTTTCTCCCCTTTGCTCCCCCTAAATCTTCAGTTCCCTCACAGGATGCGTTTGGCTGTGTGTCCTGGCTAAAACCCTGATGGATGTGACAGGGATTAACCACCACGTTTGGGATTTAGGAAAAAAAACAGGAAAAACTGAACAAAAACTTCTGCAGGAGAGAGAAATAAAAGCAGGAGAGCCCCACCTTCCGCTGGCTTGTACAGGAGCCTGTCGYTCATCCTCCAGAGGGGCCCGAGGGACACCAGGCTGTGCAGGTTCCCGTGGCTTCTCCTGTCACTGGGCTGGGGAAGGGGCTCCACGCTTTCTGAGCAGTCCTGGCAAAGACATGGAGATCACCTGAGGTGTCCTGAACAGAACCTCCTGCCCCAGAACCCTCCACCCTTTCCCAGCTCTGCTGCCAATCCTCAAACCAGCACAAATCTTTACCCCAAAGTCCCTTTTCTCAGGGATTACCAGCTATTCCCACCGTTCCATGCTGTTAATCACTCTCCAGGTTTTCCCAAAGGACTGGGTGGCCCTGGGTGACCTTTTTGGGTGTCTCTGGAAGCACCAGGTCCCTGCCCAGCCCTGGGGGAGCAGAGGCAGCCCGCAGTACCTGCTCACAGCCCGGCTGGCCCTGCAGGCACACGCTCAGCCCGCAGTGCAGGTAYGCCACCGGCTGCTGCAGCATCTGGAACAGCTGGATGGAGAAGCTGGCGGCCTGGGAACCGCTGCCCTGCAGCAGCTGGATGTGTCTGCATCCCGAGGGAAGCCTGGAGGGAATAAAAGGCAAAACCAGCTCTAGATCATCCCGGACTGGAGCAGGAGCTGCACAAACTGCACCAGCTGAGACAGAGGAGAACCCCCAGAATGAGCTGTGCCCGAGCTGCCCAGCAGCACCAGCAATTTCTGGAGGTTTTCTTTGCTGCAGTTCACCCTGCCCTGTCTGGGACCACAGAACCAGGGAATGAACGCTCCCGTTCCCCATCCTCGGGCACACAGGGGAGGTGCTGATGGGGCTCTGGAGGAGMCTGCCCTGCTCCTGGGATGGGTCTGCCCAGCCTGTGACAGCCCTGGGGGCGGCAGGATGGCTTCATTTCCATCAATCCTACATGAAGGGAGCTCCGCTCCTCCCGTTCTCACCTGTGGAAGAGGCAGCAGTGCGCGCCCGCAGCGCCGGGGCTGGCGGAGGGGGACACACAGCACGAGTGGATTTGCAGCACGGCCCGGCTGCTGTTGCTCTGCAGGGCCAGCACGGCCACCAAAGTGTCCTGGGAGGGCTCTGACCACGCCATCCCCGGGGATGTGTCCCCAGCGGGGCTCAGGCTCAGCCGCACCGTGTGGTTCCCGGAGCCGCACGAATCGCTCACCGTGGCGAGGCTGGGAAATGGAAAAAAAAAAAAGGAAAAAAAAAAGGAAAAGAAGGGAAAAATGAAACACAGACAGGCTCCCCAAAGCAGCAGCAGCAGCGCCCAGAGCAGGGAGCCGGGGGTACTTGCCCGTCCAGCACGGTGACATCCGAGTGCAGCCCGCTCCGCTGGTGCGAGTCGCTGCCCAGCGCTCCAGGCTCCAGTGTCACCGCTGTCCCCAAGCCTTCAGCTGCTCCGTCT